CGGTATACAAATTAAATAAATAAATAAATAAATAAATAAATAAATATATGCTCTCAATTTCCATAAGAAACATTTACAGATTCTTTTAGATGATGATTATTGTCAGAAAAATTTCAAAAACTCCTGCAGTAAACACAGGGTATGCTAGTTTTGAACACTGGGCTGTGTCTAACAAAATGAAATTCAACATAGATAAAAATAAGGTTTTACACTTAGGCAAGAAAAATCAACTGTGTAGGTACAGACTAGGTGAAACCTGGCTTAATGCCAGTAATGTGAGAGGAATCTTGGAGTCCTAGTGGACAAGCATTTATATTAGCCAACAGTGTGTGAAAGCAGAAAAAAAAGCCAATTCAATCCTAGGCTGCATTTAATACAGGGATAGAATCAAGATCATGTAAAGTTCTAGTACTGCTTTACAAAGCCTGAGTAAGACCACATTTGGAATACTGCATCCAGTTCTGGTCATCAGAATATAAAAAAGATGTGGAGTCTGGAAAGTGTACAGAAAAGAGCAACAAGAATGATTAGGGAGCTGGAGGCTAAAACAAATGAAGAATGGTTTGAGGAACTGGCTATATCTCGTCTAGAGAAAAGAAGGACAAGGGGAGACATGATAGCAGTACTCCTATATTTGAGGGGCTCCTACAAGGGATCAAACTATTTTCCAAAGCACCAAAAGGCAAGCCAAGAAACAATGGATGGAAACTAACCAAGGAGAGAAGCAACCTAAAACTAAGGAGAAATTTGCTAATGGTGAGAGATGTTGGAATAACTTGCTTTCAAAGGTTGTGGGTGCTCCATCACTGGAGGCTTTCAAAAAGAAACTGGATAGCCATTTGTCTGAAATGGTATAGGGTCTCCTGCTTGAACAGGGGGTTGGACTAGAAGACCTCCTAGGTTCTATTCTATTCTGTTCTGTTCTGTTCTGTTCTGTTCTGTTCTGGTCTGGTCTATTCTATTCTATTCCACACACAACTTTATACAATATAAAGTTAATGCAACATGAATGAAGAAAATAAATACTCTTTGCAAGCCAAAAGTAACATACTAATATAATAATATGGATTAATAACTGTAATTTTGTCATAAATATCTTGAAAGCATAGTGCTCAAAAATTCAGGAGCCTGGTCACTTTTCAGTCCCACGTGAATTCATATTTTGCTCTGCATTTTCTGCATGTACTCCAAAATGTAATTTACTCAGTAAATCATTTAATAAGGTGAAGCATCCCACAAAATATTGTGTATATTGATTGAAAGTAATCTAAAAACAGGACTAAATATACTGAGTTGGCAAGTGAAATAGATTTACAGGATTTGAAATGTTGTGGATGTCTATTTTATGTATCATAAAGCAGGAGGAGAAGGGCTTGCATCCAGGCATAATGTTGATTTGATTATAGATTAGTACATAATGTGAATCTAATGTATTTATCAAATTTTAAATAAAATAAACCATGGTTAGCTGTGACATTTAAAACCAACTAACTCAGTATTTTTCTGGCTTATTCTCTAAATGCTTGCATCTTACATTTCCATTTATGTTTTTATAATACCTTTCTGTTTATTTTCAACATAAATTGAAGATAGCATGTTAACACTTTTTAGGAAGATATGTGTGAAATGCTGGACATTTTTAGAAATTAAGTGATCTTGGCATCAAAACTGTGAACTAGAAAGGTTTCCTATGGATGTTGCCAATGTATGTTGCCTGCTGTCATCTGATGCATTTATGAAGCTGCTTATGGATTTACAGAAACCAGAACAAAAAAGAGACATTATTAAAATAATTATTTTAAAACAATTAACATAAAAATGAGCTTTAAATATATATTTGAAAATATGCACTCTTCCTGCTGATTATTCTCATTTGGTTATTTGGAGATCTGTAGTTTTTTTTTTAATGTTTTATTAATTGTTTTACAATAAAATCCTTGAGTTTAGACAATAGTCAGAATATTTAGTTTCCTTCAGACACTTTTTAATCTTATGGCTGGCCCAGTATGTATTCTTTCTTTGTTCCCACCCAGCTGTCTTCTGAGAGTTATTAAAGTTCAAGGGAACAGATTATTCTTTGTTTCTGGCATCTTGCCAATTTCTGAGTCAATGTTGTTAATGTTTTATGCTCTAGTTCTCCACTAGGTGTCAGTAATTGCTTATTTTCCAACTTTTTCAGACAAAAAATATTATTATTTATTATTATTTTTATAGTTTTATCAAAACTCTTTAAGGTATAATCTTAGTAGTTATTTTTTAATTTCTAGATTTATGCAGACTGTAGTATTTTAACTTTGACTTCAATATATTTCTTTCCCCCTTAAAGGTTAATTTGCCGCTTCTTTCTATGAGGGAGTGGGGGTATAGTCCCCTCCCTTCACTTTGAGAGGTTTTCTTACTTTCTTACTTTGGGGATCTTTCCCAAGGACTTAGTTACAGAATAGAGGAAAGAAGATAGAAGATCTCACCAGTTCCAAGCATGCTGTTCACCGTTGTTCTGGTTCGTGCTCTTGGGCTAGATGCTGGTGTGCAGCTAGCTTTTCTCCTGTTGGGTTAGAGGGCTTCCCCTGGATCAAACGGTATGACTGCCGCCATTCCGTGATCATCGGGGCACGCCTCTTTCCTCGTCACCTCTCTGGGACAGCTTCAGACCTATTTAGGGTTCCCTGGCAACTGTGGGGTACGGAACTCCGCAATCCCATGGCTATACGCTATGGTGCAAAAACCAGAAGTCTTGAGACCTGTAGTTTTAACCTTTCATTTGGGAACCACATTTAGAAACCACTTCTGAATAGTTTACAGATATCTGCATAGTAATACTAATGCCAAGACTTGTTAAGACTGCAAACCACAGAAAGATTTGAACCATCAATTAAAATAAAAGTCAGAGTTGTTGGTTCTTTGTATTTTCCTCTCTGCCTCTTATAGATGCATCAACATTTTTTCTAACCAGAACTTTCCAGGTTATATAGAGAAATACAAACACAATGTAATGCAAAATTACTTTCCTATCTCAGATATTTTCTTTCCCCAAAGTTTATTTGTTCATTCCTCACTTATATATAGCCATACAACTCACAGAACATGATTCTGGGTGACATACAGTGAAAACAAATAACAAAACATATGATCTTATGTTCTTATTTAAAAAGAACTAGAAGAAAGTATCTTTGGTGTTACATACTCAACCCATAGCTATCTCAACACATTTCTGTTTCCCTGAAGATCTCCAAGCCTGTTGGCATAGCCACAATTTCAGATATTCCCAGGAACTACCAAACATGGGCCATTCTCACCTCTGGGGAAATAATGAGCAGGTCCCAAAGCCAGAAATGGCCTGTCTCCTGAGTCCTGCTAGATATAATTCCTGTTTCATACCAATCCCAAGGGATAATATATAGTTTACTCAAGCAGAAATTATGGTTGTGATTCTGTAGTAAATCAGCTTTTAGCATGCTTGGAGATATATACATACATATGCACCCGTTACATACTATATTTATTCATATTTACTGTTTTTAATTTACTGTTTTTCAATATGATATCCCATAGCTAAACCTGCACACCTAATTGGATTGTTCCATTCTACGTGACATTCTGCAAAAATCAGCTTCATTTCACATGGACATATTTCTAAGGTGCCTCCCTATTATTATTTTAACACAGGGGTAGTCAACCTTGGCTCTTTTATGACTCGTGGACTTCAATTCCCAGAATTCCTGAGCCAGCTTAGCTGGCTCAGGAATTCTGGGAGTTGAAGTCCACGAGTCATAAAAGAGTCAAGGTTGACTACCCCTGTTTTAACAAAACTAGTTTCTCCTCCTTGGTTCTGTCAGTTATGACAGGTCATTCTGCCCAGTCAAAGAAAGCAAAGTCTGAAATAGTTGATGGGCCTAAAGCTTGCCAGAAGCCAACTTAAAAACTGCTACTCTGGTAATATTAGCCTTAAATAAATTGAAGCAAGGAAGAAAAAAAGCAGCAACATTTCACACTTTATTCTGCCACCATGTCCACACTTTTGGGACCTGTTTTTTTTTTTTTTTTTACCACTGCACAACTGAGGCATATGGATTCCACTATAATATTTTCCCAAGGTTTTATTTACATCACTACTTAGTGAAATGACACAAATTGTTTATATTCAGAAGGTCTGAAATTCATATCTTTGCCGAATATTTGTTTCCTCTTTTTCTCCTTCCCCTCTAAAAAAGCTCAAGCATCTTTCGCATCAGCAATAGGCAGAAGTTCAACATATGACGTGTCTTTCAGCCTTGTTCACTGTGAATGAAACGTCTGTCCCACAACTGCAGTATCCACTCTTTTAAAATCAACCAAGTGTTGATCTATTGGTTGTGACAGGAATTGATTAATCAGGTTGTCGCCCAAACCTGATATCCCAAGTTGAGAGAGAATGACTGGTTCAGCTTTCATGCCTAAGGTGGCATTAGAACTCACAATCTCCTAGTTTCTACCTTGGAGCCTTAACCACTAGGCCAACTAACAATATTTCCCTTTATTTAAAAGTCCTTATATAGTTTAAAAAATAAAAAAAATCTACAATTTCATTTGAAAAGTGCTGATTGGTAAAAAAAAAAAAAAAGAGATTATTCTGCTTTCTTGCAAAATCCTTGCTTTTTTTAAGTTTTCACATAGGGATGAAGGAAAGGAAGACATAATCTCTTTCTTTTAAAAGGAGGCATAGGTAAACTGGACTTGACTAATGTGAAAAGATCTTCTGAATCTCTTTGTTGGAAGATAGTATTCAAAATAAGGCTCTTATTCAAACTATTACAATTAAGCAGGCTTGTAGCCAAACTTGCTCTGAAAATAAACTACCCAACTAGGAAAACTTCACAACCAAGAACTGTTGCAATCAAATCCTTCAAATAACTGGGTATCTATTTCTAATGTAATTGTTTTAAATTTAAGTTGGAATGTAGGGGCAATTGATTTTAGGTTTCAGAGATTTTTTAAGAGCAAAAGATACAACTCGTCCTCACCTTTACCTCCAGATGGCATGGTTGCTACATCATCAGAACCTGGCAAGCCTGTCCTTATTCCATTGTTAAAGGTGTGTCCATCTACTGGTTGTAGCTGCCAATTTAGCCCAAGCATATGCATTGCTGCAAGACACAGAAAGCCAGGAAAAAATAAACATACAAGGCATTTATTATTGAAGTTGAGAGTGAAAAGGTAACCTCTTTAAATGGACATCTCCTCTTAGACACAGAGACATCTACATAGATTTTACATTTCTTGAATTACTACACAAGGTGTCAAAAACATTAGACAACACATATACACATGTGTCGCTTTCTTATAACATTAAAATTAATTGCATCTTTCTTAATTGCCTGCTACGAAGAATTTACTCAGAACAATTATTTCTTTTTCTTTTGGTCTACAAAGATTGCAGTACTATATATGCCTTGCTAGTGATCAGTTTCTCTAAGTCACGGGTGTCAAACTCGTGACGTCACATGACGTGTCACGATGTATCGCGACTTTTTTCCCATTGCCAGCAACAGGGTGGGCATGGTTTTGGCGTGATGCATCTGGCCCGCGGACCGGCAGTTTTGACACCCCTGCTCTAAGTGGATTTACTGCTGAATAAACAAGTCCAGGCATATGCTAGAAAGCTAAGAGTTGCCTAGACCTAAACTTGTGAAGTAAACAGTCTCTGTTTTTATCATATCCAGACCTAAATTTAACATATTTCAATAGCATTATGAAAAAGCATTTGTCTTTTAACCAAAAGTTGTTTCATGACAGGGTTGTTATGTTTAAGGGGGGGGGGGGAAGCAGGAAATCAACTTTTGTGAAAAATAGCTGTGGCAGTAATTCAATTGTTTTTAAGAATTGAAAATGATAAGTTATAGTGGGACATACTTTTTTTAGTAGTAGCCTTGCATTTATTTTGTTCAATTCTATTGTGTGTCCAGTAGATCTTACAGTATTTTTAAGCCTTTTGAAAACATAGAGAAAGAGCTACTTTTACCTTTCTAAAAGAAGTGAGTAATGCGTCCTCTGTTTATCATTGCAGTTCACATCCTTGCTGGTGTCTATTTTCCAACAAAATCAGGATTGTCTTTGGATAATAATAGAGTATATGACTCAGCCACAATTTTTTCTGTGACAGCATATTTTTGTATACAACCTCATCCTTTAGATGTTTTTAAATGCATATCAGAGGAGTGCATATTAGATGAATTGTTTAACAACACAAAATCAAAATTTATTAATATTAAAGTTGATCAACAAGAGTTAGAATCCTTAGATGTCCATATGACACTTCATATTTAGAACTTCCCTTGGTTTCAATTTAAATTGTAATTGCAATTTTATTCTTTTTTCTGCTTAAAGTGATTTGTCTGGACTGCATTTTGCTTCTTTATTTACAACAGGGATCTTCAAACTTGGTCCTTTTATGACTTGTGGACTTCAACTCCCAGAATTCCTCAGCCACAAGTGAGATTACTTATAACTTGCATATATGTACATATACATACAGTACATAAAGACAGATTTCACAGCAAAAATCCCTATGATTGATAAACTTGAGCAGGAAATAAAAGATACATTCTGTAATACCAAGATGATCATATTCTAGGCTGCAAAATATACTGTAGAATTTCCTTGCTAAAAATTCCCTCTTCTGGCTTCTTTTACATGAAATCTTCTCCCAAAATGAACTGGTGCTCCACCCATGTCTCTGTGTTGATATCAAGCTTGCATAGATTTTTGCAATATAAGCTGAACCTTTACTTCAAAGAATTCTCTGGAGACAGTTTTCCAGTGTTTTCCCCAGAGATAGAGCGTGTGTTGTTTCCTACTGGTGAACTTCCTATCTTTCTGCTCTTCTGCATTGCTGCTCCCACCGAAACCAAGGTACAACCAAGGCAAAAAAGTATGCCTTCGCAATATCTTTTTTTAGTTGCTCAGTTGCTCTGAAGGCTGGCTGCTGCATCAGTAGCTATTTTCTTTTCCTTTTACTACAAAATCTAGGGAAGGAACTGTGATGATATGAGTGAGATATCAGCTTGCTATTATTTTTTACACCCACTCACTGGCAAGCCAGAGGAGAGAGAGCAGACAACATTTATGTTATTATTTTTATTTTATTATATATATATATATATATAGAAGCTAACAACCAACTCCCCTTTCTGGACATCCTAATCTACAAAAAACCCAATGGCTCCCTAGGACACACCATCTACCGGAAAAAAACACACACCAACCGCTACTTAAATGCACAATCCCACCACCACCCTGCACAGATCAACTCCATAGCTAAGACCCTCATCTCCAGAACCAAACGCCTAGCCGACAAAGATCACCTGAAAACTGAATTACACACTCTCACAAATGTATTAATCTCCAACGGATTCCAAAGAAATACAATTACCAACCTAATCCAAAGGGAAACACCCCCCAAGAACCGAGACATAGAACAGTACAACGACATCGCCCTCCTCCCCTACATCAAAGGCACCACAGATAAAATCAGCAAAATTCTCCACAAACACAATATCAAGACAGCCTTTGGCACCAACCCAAAAATAGCTAACATCTTAAGAAACCCAAAGACAGGATCCAGCTAGAAAACCAAGGAGACTATGAAATACCATGCAAAATCTGCCCAGCCACATACATTGGACAAACTAATAGGAGAATAAATGCCCACATCGCAGAACACAAGAACGCAGTCAGAAAAGAAGAAAAAACTTCCTCCCTCTTCCAGCACCTTAAAGCTACAGGACATGACATTGATTTTGAAGGAACCAAACTAATCTCCAAAACTGAACACCACAACAAGAGAATAATTATGGAAGCCATCAAAATAGAAAAACACCCCCACAACATGAATAAACGTGATGATACCTCCTACCTACCAGACATCTGGAAACTAGCCCTAATCAACAAACGAGTCCTAGCCACAAAAATTGACACCGGACCCAGAACAACACAGTACGCCACCACCATTCACCCTCACCAGACCCAAACCCAAGCCCAAACCCATCCCTCAGATGAAATGCAACCACCATCCAGAAGCCAAACCACGACGACATCACCAGCTGCTGCACCTCCCTCTGACCCCCACACAAAGCAAACGGATACACACCATGAACACAGAGCTAGACCGCAAACTCCTGGTTTCTAGCCTGGTGCCTTAACCATTAGAACCAAACTGGCTCAAAATGAGCAAGGATTGAGGAATAGTAGGAGTAGCAGAACAATATTACAAGGGGAATGAGAAATTAAACTAGTGACTGGCTGGAACAACCCGTTGATATACTTCCCGGGGACAGCAGGAGACAATAGTTGTGACATTTGCTCTCAGTTCTTTTCCCCATACTGTTACCTGCCTAGAAGAAAAGAGGTGAGCCTGAGAAGTTGAGTAAGTCTCTCTACATTAGAGCAAAGTGCATACATATAGCCTGAATTCCCTGAGAACTGTCTGATATTTTATGCTTGAAAACTCACAGAACTAAGAACTGACCTTCCAGTATATCAAAATCTACAGCTTGAGATTCATGCCTCATTATTTAGATGCACAATTAAAGTCAGACTTATTGTCTCTATTGTAATTAAATGGTCTTTGAATTACTGAGCCCACATACTGAGTTTGCAAGTACTTCACAAGAGCCATCACCACTTAAAATCATATTGTCACCACCACCAGCACTTGGTTATAATCAGTTACATACTAAATAGTTTTATTAAAATTCACATTTATGTCTTGCAAGGAATCAAATAGTTGTGGACCGGAAAGCAGAAACACAGTCGGTTAATTTTTCAGAGGAGTGTCTCCAGACTCTTTGATTTAAATATGGCAGAGCTCACAAGTGAAATAAATTTGGAGGCCTCACCTTCAATGGTATTTATGCCTAAGTTCAGGAGGAACACAATTCATCACCCCTGACAAGATCTTCTCAAGAGAGAATGGAATAGCAGGGTCTTGGCGGTCAGGATAAAAGGCCAGCTGAACACAGGGTAGTGAAACCAGTCCAGGCCTGACATCTTTACCTTCTATCCTGTCTAGGACAATCAGTCATGTTCAAAAATATGAATACCACAGTGGCAAAATGGCTACCTGTTGAAATTTCCTAATAATGTTGGAGTAAGTAAATCCTTCAATAAAAAGAGCTACACCTGGCCTGAGAAGAGGTGGGGGAAATCAAATAGACCACAATGAAGATAGTCAAACTGAATTTCATTTCAGCAGCTCCTGCTGTTGACTAGCCACACAACTGCAGAGGCACTAAGCAATAATAAAGGGAGATCCTCAGGAAACAAGAGATCATGTCCTTTCACACAGAGAGGTCACTGGAGCTTTGTGGGGCATTACTAAACTGTTCTCACACAAAAGTGCCTGGTAAAGGATGAACAGCCAATCAATAATTATTAGATGAAATATATGGAGTGACATACATGTCTGTTTGTGTAAACAGAGTAGCCAGCAACTTGTGTTGAGAGAGAGGGTTACCAAGAGCTGATTCCTCCCCCACCATCCTTTTAAGGATCAGCACCGTCAGCATATAAGAAGAGCAGAAATTACACACTTTTCATCTCAACGGAAAAGTGATAAATCTGTCATTGTCCAAGTGGCTCAGGAGATACTAGATTTTTATTTTTATGGATAACAAAATGAAGCAGTTCAATCAAATCCGCATTTCGATTATAAACAAACATAAAATACAATCTGAAAAAATTACACCCATTTCAGTAATAGCATTAAAATACATAAGACCTATAAAGTAATTAAAAACTAGGACTGCAAACAAAATATATAATGTTAAAACAGTAAGATCTCTCCATAAAAAATAATACCAAGAGTATGCACTAAAAGCATGGAGGAGGAGCTGCTCTGAAATCCATCAAAAGGATATAAAAAAAGATAAATATAGAAAAAAGGGTTCTCGGTATGGCAAAACAGTTTTACATGATGGGTTCAAAACATCTTTCTAAAAAAAAACTAATGAGACACCAAAGGGAAAAACATAATTGGAGCTACAAGTAATTGCAAACTATACAAAGAATGTTTTAATGGTGAAAATGTTGCTCAATATATTGCTGCTAAGTGGCTAAAAATATTTTGTTAAACATTAGGACTGAAATA